TCTGATTCACAATCACCAAAGTCACAATGTACAGAGTCGTCGCATTCAAATTGCCCACAATAACTGTGACTCGCCTGGCATAAGCATCGGTGAGCGCGCACTGCACGGAATTACTATTCCACACCACTACATATGTCGAAAGCCATTCAAAATTCTCATTGGGAGTTTCCCGGGGAGACTTCAACTGCGTCGATTGTTAAGGTGACAGGCGCTGAAATTAAATCATGTAAGATTAGACTAAAATTATATCAACGGACATTTCCCGCAAGTTCAACGTGCGCATATTCTGTGAAATAGTAAGCAGATGATTAAAAATTGAATGGTGAATCAACAAACTTTTTGTCCTGGAGGCCACTTTCTGCTTTTTGACAGGGACAGACGATATTTCCCCAATGTAAGTACGAACACTGTTTTCTGAAATATCTCCTATGTTATCTTGCTTACACTAATCAACTACCTATAGCATTTACTTAATTATTGCTTCAAAAGAAATGCCAAGATGCAATTACATATAAAAATAGACTGGCGACCTTTGGGATTCGTTAAAGGCGTCTGTGCTTTAGAGGTCTCCGTACCCTGCTTCGCGTTCGTTTCCACCAAAAGGCGGTTCATTACTTGCACTATATACTCAGTATTTGGCTCCAAGTTGCCTAATATGCACTTGGCCGGTGTATCATTTAGCGACTTTTTGCAGTTAGGATTGAGGGCGCCGTTCGTCATGACCCTCATTTCCCTAGCACGATCGAATAACAAGTCCGATGTCCACATCAACTTCAGCTCAGTTGGTCCATCGTTAACGACCACAAAGTCCCTCACTAAAAGGACATTCAAGTGAACGTTAGTATACAAAGTGTTCGGTTCAAATATATTTTAAAATATTAGAAAAGAATGAGAAAATGTCGCTGCATTTAATATGGCGCGCACGTGTGCGTATCCATGTTTTGTCCCCATTCGTAATTTTTGGTTGTGTACTGTTTGGATGTTGAAATGCGTTCGTCAATCAGGTATCAGTATATGATAGACTAATAGCGTCATGAGGCTGTATCTGTTGCCCGCGAAGGCGACGATAGTTAACACGCAGAATGGAATACTGATAGAAATCCAGTAGCCTGAAATGGCCACTTCTTACTTACTAGACAACATCACCTACCCATGCCTAACATCAGGTTTGGAGCGCCTAGGGTTCGAACACGGGAGCTGCGATAATTGAGTCGAACGCCTGACAATTGCGCCAGGGCGTCAGCGGGCGTAGGACACCCAGCGCTGACTGACGACCGCTAAGTTGGCGTAAATGTCCATTCAAGTCTGAATTATCTGCAACGGTATATTTTGGCATACTTAAATTCAGCAGGTACGCCGGTACACTTTCATTCATGATTTCGCGGCTACAAGCTGTATATTTTTCGTGCAACGAAAATCATATATTTCTGCATACCCTTATGAAAAGGACATATAGGACTCATAAATGCTTGTGATGGATGTGCACCATGTGGTGCAATTTATAAATTTGCTTAAAGGATTCCGTACGATTGGACATTTCATGATTTGAAAATGTCATAATTGGAAATTGTTTTCACATTTAAAGGATACTCTTTCTCTAAACACACACATTCAACAAAAAGAGTATTATTGTGCATACTTTCTACGAAAGATACTTGAGTTTATGAGAACGTCAAAAATCACTAGACAAAGATTTACGCTGCCTAAGTAGTCGTTTTTAGGGAACTCGTTTAAAAGCCGCTGTTCTGACGTGACTGAAATATCTTTGCTTTATGCGACCGGGATAATGAACATGATAACAGCACTTCAAAAATATTTTTAAATTTTAGTTCATTTAAGACTTTCGGCAAACACTTCATGAGGCGACGCATCCAATGTATATGTAGTAGTATAGCATACACGTAACGCGGGCTGGTCAATCCGAACAGTGCATTAGACGTGTGGTTAACAACAACTGGGTAGGCACAAATTGGCCGAAACTAGTATAATACGCAGTCATTGATCCCCAGGGCCCATTGTACACAGAGAATCGAGCATTCAGCGCGATGACCGTCGTCTTCGACTTGCCTCAGCGATTTCTCCATGAAACTCAGGGTTTCGGTAGAGTGGCTGAAAGGCCACCGCGAGGACAGTAGTGAAAACAACCGGCGCATTACTCCCAGTCGAGCTGAAGAGTTTTCGCTTTCACACCGAATCCCTGAAAGTGCCTACCCCAGCCATAACAAAACGAACAAATGCATGTGCTCTCGTAGAGCCCCGTTTTCGGCTTAAAAACTACCCAGGTATTCAGTCGTTTCCTGAGCTGACGACTACGTTTTTCCTAGCTTCTGATCACCCTTAAGATTTCCAGTCGGGGCTTTCGTTCACAGACCCCACTTGTTCGCAGACTCAGTAACGTTTCTCCCCTACAGATGTTCATCTCTGCGATGTTTTTTTACAAATACCAAATATAGTTGTCAGTTTAGGCGGCCGAGTGCAGTTCTGATGATGATCTGCCGGAGTAGAACGCAAAAGTTTATTCAAAAACCAAAGCACACGTGGGTCTTTGCAGATACAGAACTTATATGAACTAAAGAGGCCTGAATGTTAGGCAAAAATAGCACACATGAAAATTGTTTCCGCCTGTCACCCAAATCGCACAATAGTATTGCAAGCACCAGTCCTAATTATACTCTTTCTTTGAGTATAGAACATGAGGGTGACGTGATTTTCTATCAAACCCGCGAAAGGAAGAATGGTTTAGCACGTGTTTTTTATAATATACATTCAAATTTATAAGAACATCGAAAATCAATGTAAAAAGTGCACGCAAATAAAGTAGTCATTTTTGTTAAGTACGGATGCTACAGGGGATTGAAAAGAAGTGCTCTTAAAAACCGACATCCTGTTAAGTCCGAAATCTTAAAGAATTATGTCGAAAAATAACGATTTTAACAATCCAACTTAAGTCATTCTTTCTAATCTAAAACGCATTTTAGAATTTTGGCCGAAAATTTCTGAGATAGGGCATTTACTATACTTGTTTACCAGCCGTTAAGACAAGATACTGTCCTCAATTTCAGCCGACTTGCCTCAACTGATTATGACACTTCCTTAAATGTTCGTATTCTTATGTGACATGTGAAGAGCACAAGTCATGCTATATAGTGTAAAAGCTGGCACTACCGTGGAGGTGACAAATTTCGCGCATAATGGCGATTGGCATAGCTCCACGCAAGGCGATAAGATTACACCTCCATTTACTGAGGATTTCCATGGAAGCCACATGGTTAAAACAGTCGAATGATTGATAGAAGTGGGATGAAATATGTGTCCGGACGTCTAGTATCTCTGATATTAACCAGCCTTTCTGCCTACTTCCACATAGTGTCACGGCAAATGCTCGGCCCGAGAAACTGAGCTTCTTGCATACATCCATGTCCTACTAACCGCACTGAAATGTGATCTTGCGTCTGGTATCAATCCAAATATTTCCCAACCATTTCTGCTCTTATTGTGGGTGCCCTAGACGATGTAGGAAAACAAAATGGATGATGTTTAAGTGCACTTTTCGTACCAGGGCAGGCTGTCTTTTAATACATTTAAATTAACACGCATACAAGGTTATCAAGGGCCAAAACGGGTTACCCGAAGTTATTGCAAAAGTCCCAACCACGATATATTTTTTTCAATATTCAGGAATGATTTACTACATTGTGTGCTGTAAGCAATTCTTGATTTTAAATTTTGTGAAGTTACGTTTGACTGATAATTCCAAGCACTGAGAGACCCGGAAGGTGTCATTAAGAAAGTCCGCCAACTGAAAAAGTTAGTTAAATAAGAAGTTATTTTACAGTTACTCGCTTCGAAAGTTTCACGCAGCTCACCCAAAATTTAATTATTGAGTATGGTTAGTTAGCTTTTCGGCTAGTCAGCATTGTCAGTTAGTTCGTCAGAATTGCTAGTTAGTTGGCGTTGTTAGTGTGTTAGTATAGTTAGTTGGGTAGTTAGTTAGTTAGCTAGTTGGTTGGTTAGTATCATTAGTTAGCAAGTCAGTATAGTTGGTTGGTTAGTTAATCAGCACAATTAGTTAGTGGGTTAGCATAGTTAGCTAGTTAGTCAGTCGGTTGGTTAGTCGGTAAGTTGGTTTGTTAGTAAGTTTGATAATTCAGTTTGTTAGTTAGCATAGTTAGTTAGTTGGTTAGGTTGTTATTTCGAAAACTACTTTGTTAGTTAGTTAGATGGGTAGTTTGTTAGTTAGTTGGTTAGCATAGCTGGTTAGTTTTGTTTGTACAGTTAGTATATGGTCACCTGTTTCGAACGTTTCACGCGTTTTACTCTTACTTTAGATTTTTAATGGCTTTTGGCTTCCAGTAGACCGGCCGGAAACGCCATCCAGGTAGGTATGGCGCTGAAGATTTGCCACTCATTCAAGCTATATAACTGGTAAATTGTACGGCAAACGGTCGATATTTACGATGGACAGTTGAAAATTGCATTATTTAAAGGCTATCTGCTATCGCTTTGTCACTCTGATTACCATATTCCTGTGCTTCTCTATCATGATATACTTCGCGTAAGTTTGTTTTAACTAATCAACGTTTTATTTGTCCGTTTACTTTTCGGTTTTTCGGATTGCTTGCTCTATTAGATTTTATCCACAATTGTGTTAGTTGACGAATTTCCACTTCTGCACATTTAAATCTAGAGATAATTTCTTAGACCACGCTAGCAGGCGGCGCAGATTGTTTTAACGGCTCTTTGGTCATTTGGACTCTTGGTGGCTTGCTAGAGCATAAGGTCGTCACCAAAATTATTGTACCGCCGTCGAGTTTCTTGATGCTGTCATTAACATAATAAATGAAAAGCAAGATTACCAGAACTGAGCCTTGGGGCAAACCATCAGTCACGTTCTCCCAGCCTGACCTTTCATCTCTGACACAGGCACACTGCTTTCGATCAACCAGGAACGCCTTTATCCAGTTCAGAATATCTCCCAGGATGCCGATGACGCTCAATTTATGAAGAATACATTGGTGTGTGCCCTTGTCGACTTCTCTGCAGAAATCGATACACGCGACATGGCATACACATCCCGTTCACAAGGATGGATGCAGACAAAGATTCAACAATTATCAGCCGGTGAGTATAATATGCAGTTGTTGCAAAGATATGGAAATAAGAGCCAAGTAATACTTAAAAAATTTCCTTGAGACCCAACGTGGATTTCGATCAATTTACTTCAATTTAACCAATATGCTCTAATAAATGGAACAGTGGCCTCGCTCTTTACACGGAAGCACAATTGTCAAACTCGTTTACACCTTCTTCTAAAAAGTGTGGATGCTGGCATCTAAAGTGTGGTCACTTCCTCGATTACCAAACAACCCGTTCGACAGCAGTTTTCATCTCCTGCACCGTCCAAACTGTCGGTGAACACCATTCCTGTATTTACACCTCAGGAGTAGTTTTCCCTGCTAGCACGACCTCTGCCTTATCTTTCCTTTGCATAATTGCTAGCTGGCATTTCATACGATCATTTAACTGTTAGTATTATGAGTAGTAGTAGTGGTAGTAGGGGTAAAAGTAGTAGTAGTAGTAGTAGTAGTAGTGGTAGTAGAGGTAGTAGTAGTAGTAGTAGTAGTAGTGGTAGTCGTGGTGGTAGTAGTAGTAGTAGTATTACTAGTAGTAGTAGTAGTAGTTGTTGTTGTAGAGTAGTAGTAGTAGTAGTAGTATTAGTAGTAGAAGAAGTAGTAGTAGTAGTTGTTGTAGTTGTAGTAGTAGTAGTAGTAGTAGTAGTAGTAGTAGTAGTAGCAGTAGTAGTCTGCCATTATCACACCCAACTGATTGTTTCCGTGCCTAGGCCCCGAAATTTCAAAAAAAAATGTTATGCAAAATGCGCAAGTTGTTTGCAATATTTTAGTGGCATATTATTAGACGTCATGTTGTATGTACCATTTCCAATAGAGACTTCCTCTATAAATACAAAGAGTCATATTTAACTGTGTTTGCTTGCTTTGTTTGCAGGCCTTGCTTTCTCATACTGACACTATGGAGTTTTGTATATTGCGATGCAGTGGGACGATTTCGCGTTCTCGTAGATTTCTTTCTTCCGTCCGATCCTTATTAATACTTATTATAGTAGACGAAGTTTCTTCTTTCTAAAGCGCTAATGCAGTTTATTAGGCCGTATATAAATCTATTTTATTTATTTTCTAAAGTCCTGACATTGCACGCTTTTTCATTTTACGTGAATGCCCCGCGACCCCCTGGAATTATTTTATTTAAAACAATGCCACTCAAGTGAATCAAGTGCTGTTTTAATAGCGGCGATTTTCATTGTTCCTGTGCAGTTGCATCTAACGAGGTGACATGTGATCAATGAGGGTTTCGAAGGCCGTGCCTAATATCCTTAACAAATAGACTAAAAATGATCTGTTTTTTCGTTTTGACATTTTTCTTCCGTTTCCACGACCAGGTGATGTTGCGGCTGGTTTTATACTCTTTTGGATTCAACTACAAAATAGCCGATGCCAAACGCCTGTCTTCCCGTAGCAAATATCCACCAATCGAGATTGATTCAATATTTGCCCACAGAGATCATGTTTCTGCGTATTTAAAAAGTGATATTTTTACATTGTCATGATCTTACCCACACAAACCTTAGAACGAGTCCCCATTCTTACATAAACCCTGGTTGTCTCAGTCAAATGTTTACGAATTCAGTCATATTCCAGGTAACCGTGAAAAAGGAGTCAACCATACTTCTTTAAAATCCGACTAACTGCTCACCTTACTTTTATACCTCTCTTCACTGTCTTTGTCTGCATTTAAATTATCATCAACCCAAGTTGTCATCCCAAAGCCGCCTTATAGCTCTCCTAGGATGCGCAAAAATCTGTCTAAATTAGTTTGACCGGTAGCTTCCACACTTTATCAGGGTCGTCGAGTTATCCATATAAGTCAACTGTGATATGGCGTCAGGATTATATGATCCAAAAACTGAATCCGACTATGATCCAAATAAAAAACCGACGTAACGTTTTTTGTGGTATGCTTCTTTCTCTTAGGTTTACTAAGCGTTTAAAGTCGAGGTCATCTAAACGCCTCGTAGTTCCAATTACACCCCCAAATAAGTATGTATTGCATACCGGCTACTCACCCAAACCCTACTATCTTGCCTACAAATAGCGCCTATATGAATCGCCCTAAGTCATTCATCACTCAACCTATTTCTTGCTACCCACCAGCTAAGGTCAATAATCCTCACGTGCGTCATCCCAAATTCCTTTAATTCCAACCCAGACCCCGGTTACCACCATTTAATTATTATAGTTGCCTGTCCTCCCACCGGCAGTCTCTACATTCCATATAGGCTCCGTCTTCTCCTACTCCTCTACGTCCTCACTGCGACTGATTACAACTGTCCAGACATCGAGTGGGATTTGATGCACTGCACACGATCAAAAAAATTCCTTCGAGCAGAAATTTATTTCATTGATTACAACTGAGTTCTTTATATAGCATGTTAAAATGGACACTTGATTCACAGATGGGCAGCACTCCAGTTGTTTGGGCTTCAGCATCACTCGGGATGATAGTTGTATTCTCGAATTGGAACCGCACACGCCCCTTGGCCAAAGGGACAACTGCGTTCTTAGTTGGGAGTATTTAGTCTTCTTCTTCCTCCTCCTCCTCCTCCTCCTTCTCCTCCTCCTCCTCCTCCTCCTTCTCCTTCTCTACTCCTCCCACTCCTCCTCCTCCTCCTCCTCCTCCTCCTTACGTCGACTGAGTTAATTACCAACAAGCCTGTCCTTGTTCTAGCGCACTTAGTATGACAACGTCCGAAAACCATACGCGTACGCCTTTTAAGTCTCCCGCTCCACCTTTTCTTGCTGTTTCGCCATTTTTCCACAGATATAGGCTCCCTGGCACTTATTTCTCAAATATTAATAGTCTTCTGATCCAGAGGTGCCATTACATTGGAACAAAGATCTGATAAGGCGTCTCTGAACGACGTTTAGTTTCCTTCTGTCATCGGAGGACAATACGCCAAACGAAATTTAGCAGAAATCGGCGAGCAGTAAAACGCACATTTTGAAAGGTTGTATTAAAAACGCATTTTAGGTGACATTTTTACATATAAATCCACACAGGCGAGTGCCTTTCAGTGACATTTGTCAAACAAGGTTGTATGTGTTGTACTCGTTGTCAATGGTATTTTTATAGCAAATGTGCAAGTCTCTTATTGATTGGGATTCCTTTATTTTATTATCATCGAATATTATTAGTGGATGCTTTTGTAAGCCAGAAATCAAGAGATGGCATTTTACCAGTGAGAATGGTATTTACCATTGACTTTTTCTATTCGCTAAGTTATCTGAGAACAGTTTTGATTGTTCTGTGGATATTGGCTACTGTATGCTTGTTATACGCATATTCGAGTAAAAGGTCGTCCGCATATAAAAACATTTTGACAAAGGCTGATGTGGACGATAAGTCGTAAATCTATACGAGAATCCGAAGATGGCCTAGGATAGTGCCTTGAAGTACTCCACTGGTAATACAGGAGCCTCCTGTGACTACAAAAACACTTGATATCGGTTTTAAGTTAAGATTTGAGAAGGTCTACAAGGAAGGTATAATTCCATGTCTCTTTGTCCAGGAGAACTATTATTCGCTTTTTGCATTCAGAAAAAGTACCACAAAATTCGGACGCTGAATGCATCGATTGAAAATCATTCAAATGTCGAAGTGACAACAGCCGTCGGGAATACTACAGTAGCATTATATCGTCCTAGCGCGGACGGGACAGTAATGAGCTCTTCCATAAATCGTAAGCAAAATATTGTCATAAGGGGCGCCCCAGAGTCC